CAAATTCTCTGTAAATGTTCATTAAAATTATTTTTAAAAAATAAAAGTATGTTGGATTTAAAAAAATAAAATAAAAAGTCGCTGGAGGCGCGTTGAGTGCCGAGTGGCCCTGCCCCGCCAGCCCGCTCCATAACAGCCAGTCATGGAGCGCAGAGGGGTGCCGGTTCCTGGCTAAATCGACATTGAAGCGAAGACCTGAAGCAGAGGCAGCAGAGGAGGAAGCGGCCGAATCTGAGGGCGGCGGCGGCTGGAGAAGCCCGGGCTGCTTGGGATGTTCAATCATGAAATGAGTACGTACAGAGCAGATTCAGATGGCAGTGTCCTGCTACCTCAAACACCGACAATTCATGGATTCCGAAGGTCCACTCAAACAAGGACTGAGACTAACACAGACTTCTGAAGTGATGGCCGCTAATCTCACAGTCCAGTCAGAGCTTCTGAAAGAGATGGCAGCTAATCTCACAGTCCAGTCAGAGTCCAGTTGTGCCAACATAGTATCTGCAACCTCTTGCCAGGCAGAGCCCCAACAATATGAAGTACAGTTTGGACTGCTATGGAATTTCCTCAATGATTCTGATTCCGAGCACAGCCACAAAGTGATGCCTTTCCTCTATCCTCTTTTTGTCTACCTCTATCACAGTCTGATCCAAAACAGTCCGCAGAGCACAGTGGAGAGTTTTTACAGTCACTTCCATGGGATGTTCTTACAGAATGCCAGCCAGAAGAAGGTCATTGAACAGCTGCAGGACACTCAAATCATCCAGGACATCTTGTCCAACTTCACGTGCATTCCTAGATAACAAGTATGTGGTCTGTCTCCAAGAAGACAGCTACAACTACCTTGTCTATTACCTCCAAAGTGACAACATTGCCCTGTGCAAAGTCTTCTCGTTACATATTCATCTTAATGTGCAATCTGCCAAGAGAACAGACTACCAGCTTTATGCTAGCTGGCAGCTCCTCTCCTAGTGAGAGCAGCAGCTAGAGTCCTCTGACATGCCCACCCCTCTTCTGCAAAATGAGGCTGCCCTGGAGATGCTGCAGGAAAGCATCAAGAAAGGCAAGGCCGGGCCTCCTTCACTCACCAACATCTGTTTCTACACCTTCTACAACACAGAGCAGCTGCTGAACACTGCAGAAATTTCCCCAGATAGTAAACTGCTTGCTGCTGGGTTTGACAACTGCTGTGTAAAACTTTGGATTTTACAATCCAAGAAGTTGAAGTCTGAACCCCACCAAGTAGATGTGTCACATATCCATTGGCTTGTGATACCCTTGAGGAAAAGGTCTGAGTATCACTTTTTCTTCCCTCTGTATGCCTTACTAATTTGTTTAGAGTATCCCTGCCAAACATGCCTGACTTGCCTTACAGAGAATAGACTTAATTTTTCCCCATTGTGTAACTAACCCTAAACTGATGTCATATAACCCATAGCCATTTAATTCCTGCTAATTTCTAACTTTGAAAAAGATGGTGGTGAGATGTTTTAGGTTTTTGGGGTTTTTTAAAAAAGAATTGCTCAAATAGTCCACAGGTAGTTGACCTAACCCAAAGGAAGCACTTCACATGTGACTTTATGCTTCCAGAAAACACATTGGAAAGTCAGCTGTGAGTCTAAAGTTAGTTTCTGCATTCATTTAATATCACAATTATAGTCAATGAAATGTGACTTTTATCAAAACCTAAAGACCTTTAGCTAATACAGACTTCAGTTGGGATTATAGTGATTATCCTTGCTTATCTGTCTGAACATTTGTACAAGTACAAATACAAGTAGGATTAAAAAAAAGTCGTTGGAGGATCAGCTATGGGTTAATTCTAACCCAGCAACAACAACAAAATCAAAACCCTGTAATGTCAAATGTCAACAGCATGACACTGAGAAATTAAAATTCTCATACATGGGGCTGGTAGGAATTCAAAGGGTATAGTCACTTTAGAAAAATGTTTGAGTTTCAAAAAAACCAAAAATTTAGTTTCTTATTAAGTTCTCAGATAGGAAACTGTTGCCTTGATACAACCAGATATCAAACTTGGAGGCATTCATTCTAAAATGAAAACTTCACTGAAAAAAATCTCAATTTTATGGCCATTTTATTTATTTACATTGCCAGAAACTAGGAACAAATCAATAGTCCTTAAGTCACTGGAACGAACACACGAACACACACACACACAAGCCACACACAGAGTCTTTCAACTTTTGAAAACCTTTCTAGAGCTATGCTTCAGTTTTTTTTAAGCAAATATCTAGATTTTCTCTGTATAAGTAGTATTTCATTAGAATGAATACTGACATTTGTATACTTTCCTCACATCAATTGTGCCAAATAATTCAAGAAAGTCAAGTTGATTCATGAAAATCAACATGATGATCCCACCTCTGCATCAGTCAGGTGGCACCAAGTCAATTCTGAATCATTACGATCTCATTATGATACAGCAGAATGGTCCAATGAGATTTTCTCAGCTATAATCCGTATGAAAGCAGAATGCCATGTATTTTGTCTTGTGGAACCATCAGATGGGCTGTAATCTATTGGTCTATCTGTATACTAGCTCTTTGTGATAACAGGGCTCCCTGAAGCATGGACTGCTCAAAACAAAAAATTCAAACTCATTGCCATCAAGTCAGTCAGTTAGGACTCAAGGCAACCTTCC